AAAATAAATAAATAAATAAATAAATAAATAAATATAATTAATTAATTAATTAATTAATTAATTAATTAAATAAAAAAAAAACGTACAACAATCAATATCCTCAGGTTGTCCAGTAAAAGGATTAGGAGGAAGAGAATAAAAAGGAGACACTAAATAACAAGATAAAAGTGTCTCCTCTTTGCTTCTTATTATATCTAAGGATTGTATACATGTTACTATTGATTGCCAATCACATAATAATTTATTACTGCATGCATGCATGCATAATAAGGAGACACATTCATTAATTATATTTATTTATTTATTTATTTATTTATTTATTTATTTATTTATTTATTTATTTAATTAAGACAAAAAAGGAGACAAAAAAGGAGACAAAACAAGAGACAAAAAGGAGACAAAAAGGAGACAAAAAGGAGACAAAAAGGAGACAGATAAGGAGACACTTAATAAGGAGACAAAAAAAGAGGCAAAAAGGAGACAAAAAGGAGACAAAAAGGAGACACAAAAGGAGACAAAAAGGAGACACTTAATAAGGAGACAAAAAAGGAGACAAAAAGGAGACAGTTAATAAAAAAAAGGAGACAGTAAATAAAAAAGGAGACAGTTAATAAAAAAAGGAGACAATAAATAAAAAAGGAGACAGTTATGCCTACAAAGGTAAATGATTCCTTAGGGCAAAGTCTTCATTTAATTGCTCAGATACAACAAGGAGACAAAAAAGGAGACAAAAAAGGAGACAAAAAAGGAGACAAAAAAGGAGACAAAAAAGGAGACAGTTACGCGTACAAGGGTAGATGGTTCCTTAGGGCAAAGTCTTCATTTAATTGTTCAGATACAACAGAATTTAAATCAGAAAATGCCGCCCCTAAAGAGCTTAATAATGTATCCATCTGCGTATACACCCCAAAACCCTAAACCCTAAACCCTAAACCCTAAACCCTAAACACTAAACACTAAACACTAAACAATAAATTTTATTATTCATGAAATATATCATGCAACCCTCAGTCCTCAACAATATCCTCTAAACCCTCAGAACTAATAAAGAGGCCACAACGCAAGAAAGGGTTTAGGGTTTAGGGTTTAGATATTAGGGTTTAGGGTTTAGGGTTTTCTTACAAATTTTTCCTTATCATTTTGGTGGTCGTCTTGCTCAACTATCTCATCCATCTTCTAACCCTAAACCCTAAACCCTAAACCCTAAACCCTAGGCCTTAATATGTCTTCTTTTGTGGGGGCCCCAGGGGTTTTAGTTTCTCTTACTGAGGGGGCCCCTTGACTACGCTAGGGTTTAGGGTTTAGGGTTTAGGAGTGGTGGGGACCCTCAAGGGTTTTAGAGGGAAAGGAAAAGGATATGAGGAAACACAAGAGGAGGGTCTCAGGGTCTAAACCCTAAACCCTAAAACCTAAACCCTAAACCCTTGTGCGGCGGCTGTACTAGGTAGAGGGAGTAGGGGGAAGGGCAGAGAAAGGAAATAAATTAGGGTTTAGGGTTTAGGGTTTATAATTTATAAGGAAAATATTTATTATACAAAGTCTCCCCTCTTCTTTTAAGGTATAGGTACTATGGCACACAGCAGGGGGCCCCCCAAAACCTCTAGGGGGGCCCCCCTGAACCCTAAAGGGGGCCCCCCAAACTCTCACGGGGCCCCCATCCTTTTAAAGAAATAAAAGGAAATTAAATAAATAAAATAATTATAATTAATATTTTTATATTTATTTAGTTATAATAAAAATATTTAACTCAATTAACTCATAGTGACCCCAAACCCTAAACCCTAAACCCTAAACCCTAAACCCTAAACCCTCGGGGTATATGGTTGTGGGCTAATTTGACTAAATATAAGATATGTATTTAATTACTGCAGTTAATCAGGGAGATAAAGGTCCTCCTTCTGCTGCTGTTGCTGCTGCTGCTGCTGCATTTGCTGGTGTTGGCTGCTGCTGCTATTGTTGCTGTTGATCCTGCTACCGCTGCAACGGGGCCAGTGGTTAGCTGCTGCTCCTGCTGCTGTTGCTGCATGCAGAGACACCTACAAAAGGCTGTCTGAATATGTACACCCCGCGCATGCATGCAACGGCCTTCATCAAGGTGCCCCAAAGGGGCCCTTTGGAGGCCCTAGGGGTCGGGGTGGCGGGGAGCAACCCCACCTTGTAAACGCAAAGAATTGGCGATTCATCAATCGATAGGAATGCCAAATATAATGCCACTCGGAGGAGACGCTCCGTATCCACGGGCGGTGTCCCCTTGTCTCCTGTCTCCTTCTTGTCCTCTTCTGCCCCCTTTTGCCTCATCCTGTCCCCTCCTGTCTCCTTCTTGTCCTCTTCTGCCTCCTTCTGCCTCCTCCTGTCTCCTTCTGTCTCCTGTTTCCTCCAAGTAGCAGAAGAAGCCTTTTTTCATACCACTATAGGGAGATTAAGGAGACAACTATATGTACTAAGGAGATAGCTTATGTATATATTATTAACAAGGAAGAAAGAAATGGATACTAAGTAGGAATAAATAAAGAATAAAAATGGAGACAAAAAGAAAAACTGCTGTGCCCTATATGCCCTGACTGCATGCATGCAGAAGGCATAAAACTAATTACCTACAACAGACAGATGGGGAGAGACACACAAGGCAAGGAGGGTCTCTCTCTCTGTCTCTCTCTGTCTCGCTTTCTGCCTCTCTCTGTCTCTCTCTGTCTCTCTCTGTCCCTCTTTCTGTCTCCCTTTCTGTCTCTCTTTCTGTCTCTCTTTCTGTCTCTCTTTCTGTCTCTCCCTGTCTCCTATGGCGTCGTACGGATATGCCTTGTATAGATTGTTGCCACCTGCCATCAGCAGCAAGACACTGACCCAGCAGCAGACGACGACATCAGCAGCAGCAGCAGCATCAGCAGCAGCAGCATCAGCAGCAGCAGCATCAGCAGCAGCAGCAGCAGCAGCAGCGTAGATAGGCCATGCCATCAACATTAGGGACAGTATGTGATTAAAGCCCTTTAACAGGGCAAAGGGGGGCAGGGAGGTCACCCTAAACCCTAAACCCTAAACCCTAAACCCCAAACCCTAGACCCAACAACGAAGAAGATACAGACAGAGAGAGACAAAGAGCAGCAACAATCCTTTTATTACCTTAATGGTAGAGACCGTAACTGTTTCCCTCTATAAAGAAGAGAAGAAAGAAAATAAATAATATTTTATAATGCATGCATGCATGCATTATATGTTGACCGTCATAACATTACTATACACTATACAAGGATCACGCATGCAGTTTATATATTGGAGTATATACACCTCATATAGTAGCAGCAGGAGCACCAGCAGCAGCAGAAGCAGCAGCAGCAGCAGAAGCAGCAGCAGCAGCAGCTTTTTCTCTATCTTATTCGTCTTCCTCGTTATACGTGAATCACTAGGGAAACGAACATAAACCATAGAAAACCCTAAACCCTAAACCCTAAACCCTAAACCCTAGAACAACAGGTACTAGAATTACCCAACGAATAACAAAAATTAAACTATAGGACCTATACAAACCCTAAACCCTAAACCCTAAACCCTAGGTAGGCGAACTGGGGGACTCTAAGTGGCTGCCAATTACGCGTGTTGTTGATGCTGCTGCTGCTGCAACAGCTGCTGCTGCTCCCTCTACGGTTTAGCATAAACCCTAAACCCTAAACCCTAAACCCTAGCCGTCGAGCAGCAGAGGGGGGTTTATCTATTATAAACAATCGAGGGTTTGTAAGCACTTATAATGGCTATTTATATTTATATATAAATAAATAAATATATAAAATAAATAAATAATAAATAATAAATATAAATTAAATAATAATAAATAAATTAAATAATAATTAATTAAGTAAAGAAGCAAAAAGAGAGAAGACACGAGGGGTAAAAAGAAACGAATGGTCTGGTGCAGCACAGCGGTGTTGCTGCTGCTGCTGCTGCTGCTGCAGCAAATGTCTTCGGCCGCAGCAGCAGCAGCAGCAGCAGCAAGAAAAATAGATT